TGTCATTTTCTACTAGAATAGAGTGTCCTGGGAGCAGTAACGCCGTCTTTTTCTTCGGCACAGTGGAACAGCTGTTGGTGCATGGCATCGACTCAGTAAATATTTGTTAAATGGCTGGCTTGCTGACTGGTTCTTGTCCATTGGTTTCTTGGCGTGGATCTAGTTTCTTTCCTTTATGTAGCATTTCACAAAGACTATGTTTTAAACAACATCTTACACTCAGGTTACCTTTTAGTGGTACATTTGATTCTGCCAAATTATATTTGTCAAAATTGTAAAGGCCGTATTCATTTATACTCATTCATGTTACACATTCACTGAATTTTTGGAACCTAAATATCTAGACTGGCAATTAAAGGCTTCTATGGAGTTCAAATACTAAAAAAAAGCATTGCTGCCAAGAAAGGATCATGATATGGGTTTTCAAACAGCATAGTTTCTTGTTTCTTTTTTCTTTTATTATTTTTTAAGATTTTATTTATTTATTTATGAGAGACCCAGGCAGAGGGAGAAGCAGGCTTCCTGTGGGGAACCCGATGTGGGACTCGATCCCAGGACCTCGGGGTCACACCCTGAGCTGAAGGCGGATGCTCAACCACTGAGCCCCCTAGGCGTCCCCCAAACAGCAGACTTTCTTAATAAGTTTTCAAGATTTATTAAGAATTTTGTTTTGGTTCAGCTTTGCTATTTCCTAGGGTGCTGTCTGCTTAGCTGCAGGCAGACACATTTTCTCTCAGGATATTTAAAGTAACATCTTTGATAGCTGCCACAGGGTCACTCAAAGCAGAACAGAAGAGGGCCTTATTCTTTAGCTGGGTCCCCGGATGAGAAGTTTCAGAGCAGGAACGCTTCTTAGCAAGTGTCTAGACATGCATATTAGACTGCAGTCTGACTTTTATGACAGTTGTAACACATTCCATATGTCTTTTTTTTTTTTTTTTTTGAAATTTTACTTATTTATTTGACAGAGCGGGAGAGAGAGAGCACAGGCAGGGGGAGTGGGAGGCAGAGGGGAGGGGAGAAGCAGGCTCCTGAACAGAAAGCCCGACCTGGAGCTGCATCTCATGACCTTGGGATCATGACCTGAGCAGAAGGCTTGACGGACTGAGCCACTCAGGCCCCCCTTCATCTGTCTTTACAAGTTTTTTTTTTTTTTCACTGTCAGTCAAGTGGATGCAGTAGATTTTCCCTACAAATATTATTTGTAAGCAGTAATTCACTGTAATCAACAGGTGAACAGCTCACTTTAAAAATCATCAATGGCATTTTAAGAGTTTAGTGAGTTTTGAGAACTCAGGTTACCAGAATATATCTTATGCATTAATCACTGGTCTTGTGGATTCTAAAAAACCCCAAATTTAGTTCAATTAGCCAACTATTACAGGCTTATAAAATATATTTGCCTATATATAACCAATAGTAACCAATAATTTAAAATAACCAATAATTTAAAATAAATGAAGGTGGTTTATATGTACTTTGGTCAACCCTTCTTATTAATGTAGAGTTTGGGAGTCTATAAACAAATACATAGACAGGTTAAAATTCACAGTATGTTTTATTTATCATATTGTTATTCAAAGCTGCTTTTTTTATTCTTGATGTTCACAATTCCAGAATTATTAATTAAAAAACTCAAAATTGTTTTGTTATATTGGTTTCAAGACTTACTTTTCTGATAGACTCACAAATTCATAATTTCACTTAAATTTTAGCTATGTTTTTACAATAAGCTATAGGCCTCTGAAAATTAGATCCTGCTCACACTCGATCATGCCACATTTTCCAAATATTATTTTTCTCCTTTCTCCCCAAACTGGCTTCTCTACAGTAGTGTCTTTTCTACAGCTGATTTCATTATTATTTCAAGTTCCTTAGCTTAAAAAATGTTCTTTTACTTTCTACTTTATGCTTTTCTCCTCTTCCATAGCTAAGAAATATTATTAGATCTTTTTCACACTGTCTTGTTTTTGTCCTTTACTTTCCAAGCTCCTGTTGCTCATCACAGTAAAGACCTAAAGTACCTGGTAAAATTCCCTCATTGGTTTCCCAGTTTATTGCTTGAATACTATTTTGCTCAAATATCTATCACTCAACCTGACCCCCCTTTTATCTTTAGTTATTTTACCTTATCCATTTTTTAAAAGTCATTCTGTGCCCAACTGGGGGTTCTAACTCACAACCTTGTTATCAAGAGTTGCATGTCCTACCGACTGAGCCAGCCAGGAGCTCCAACAAGTCCTTTTTCTTTTTTTAAGTGAACTCTATGCCCAACTTGGGGCTTGAACTCACAACCCAAGAATTGCATACTCCACTGACTGAGCCAGCCAGGCGCCCCTTATCCACCTCAATTTGAGATCCTCACTGTCATCCTCTACCTCCTCTCTCCTTATCGCTACCTCTCTACTGGGAATCAGTGGCCCTTTGCCAAAGAAATGAGTAGGGCACAGCTTCTGTGATGCCCCAAAGCAGATAGGACTACTTCCAGGCCATGGTTGAGCAGGGCAGAAACCTGCTTATGGAATCACGTCTGCATCTGCAGATCTTAGGCCTGATACCTGGGGTGCAAGTGGGTATGGCCCCCGCCACTCCCCTGAGCACTCTCCTGCCAGGTCCAGGGGTGGGTTCCTGGGTGAGAAGAGCTGCCTCTGGACCATGGTAGAGTGAGGCTGGAGCCAGGTCCCCAACGGGCAAGGGTCCTACTGGCTCATACCTGCCAACAGGTGTGCCCCCGGGGTCTGGGACTGCCTTCTCAGTCTCGGGTTCCACTGGGGTTTCCCAACCTCTTACTTGGATGCCAAGGTCCCGAGAAGGCACTTTTAGTTTTGGATGGCTGCCCAATGGTTGTTTCCACGAGGGGACGAGGGCTGGGGACTTCCCCTTCTATCATGTTGCTGACATCAGTTCATGCATATGACTTCGAAAACTGCAGCATGTCTGCTGTAATTTGTAGTTTTTATGGGGGAAAATTACATTTTCAAAAGAATGGGCCTCTCACCTGTAGCCTTGTATTTGCAGTTTATACCATCTCTTTCAAAGTGTCATAGAAAGGATGAAAGATGCCGGAAGTTAGGAAGCTGGACACTTGCCTTCCTCCTCCCACTTTTAAATGTCTACTTTCCCATGAGGGGTAGAAGGGAAGAAAGGCACTTGTCCGAATGGGAAAGGCTGCACTGCGTGGGATAGGATTAGGCCTGCCGCCACCTGGCTCGTCCCTCTTGGGCTGTGTGATGCTCGGGCCCTTCCCACCCAGGGGAAGGTCATCTGTCTCTTCCACTCTAATAGGATCTTCATGGCAGGACGGTGGTGACGAGAATGAGGGCACACAGCAGGAAGGCCCTCGTTGTCTGGTTATAATTCTAATAATAATCATTATTACTGGGTCATAAAAATCTATATGGAATTAGGAAAAGTTAAAGATTTTGACTTTTTCATATTGTACTTATATCTTTATTCAAGAAGAGCACTGACGAGCTCCAGCGTCATATAGGCTATCAGCAGGATTTAGGGGACAGTACGAGACAGAATTTAATGGACTCTGAAACCCTTCCATCTTCCCTCCTGAACCTTCTCTTCCTCTTGTTTTTCTCACACATACTTGGTACTCTCACGTTGCTCTTTGGCTAACTTCAGTTCATATCCCCTTTGAGACCTGCCGTATTATTTTATTCTCCACTTTTATCCCATTAGTACGTAAGTTAGAATTCTCTTTTCCTGAAGAGTGTTGCCTGGTGACGTACCTCCTAGGTAAGAAGTAAGAAATAGTTAAGGTAAAGAGTAAAGAGGAACTTCTTCCTCCTTTCTGTATGGGAGAAGTGTATTTCAAGAGTGGACCTTTCTTAAATTTCTTGTTAAGATTTTATTTATTTGAGATACAGAGAGAGAGAGAGAGAGAGAGAGAGAGAGCCCTGGCACTTGAGCAAGTGGGCAGAGGGGCAAGAGGCAGAGAGAGAAGCGGGGAGCCCCACAGCTGGACAGGCCCTTGATCCCAGGACCCTGAGATCCTGACCTGAGCTGAGCGCAGACGCTTAACTGGCTGAGCCAACGAGGTGCCCTATGGAGGATGGGGGGGGGGGGGCGGGAGAAGAACAGCAAGATGAGATCAGAGAGGGAGCCAAGCCCTCAGAGACTCAATCATAGGAAACAAACTGAGGGTGGCTGGAGGGGAGGCAGGGCGGGGGGGGGGGTGGTCACTGGGGACGGGGTTACTGGGGGCGGCATGTGATGCACTGAGCACCGGCTCTTATAGAAGACTGATGAATCACCCACCTCTGCCTCTGAAACCAGTAATACGTTGCATGTTAATAATTAAATTTAAATAAAAATTTTAAAAACTGGACCTTGATAATTTATATAAATTACTAATTGGTGTATAAGTCTTAGAAGGAGGAGTGTCTTAGACTTTTAAAAATCTCTTCTGGATTCATTGTTCCCTTTTCCTCTATTTCAGTTGATTTATGTCTCTATTATCAAAAAAAATTCTTCCAGTGTATAATTATATCGGCAGCTTTTGTCTGCTTTTTACATTATTTTCAAGGCTTTCTTCTTGGTTCAAATGCCATAGTTTCATAGAGCTTGATCATTTTTATAAAAGGCAGTGATTTTTCTCCTGTTCTCTAATTCCTTATAAAAATTCACCATGGTGGTCTAAGTGTTCATATTGCCTTGAAAAAATGCCTCTTTCCTTGAATCTCAAAGTTGTTTTTTTTTTAAATACATAGTTCCTAATTTACCTGTCCAACTTTTAAATTTATGAGGTGCGATATTAGTTAGTTGCAGATCTTTTTTCATGGCTGGAAATTTTAAGATAATCTGTGAATCTTTAAAATGAAAGGAGTAAGAGCTGTGAAGAGTAAAACAAATTCCAAAGCTCAGAATTTCAGACTTTAAAATATCAGCAAAATCAAGTGTTTTTTTTTTTTTTCTCTTTCACAAAACTGTGCTTTTTCTAAGGTGAATAAAGTGATGTTTTTCCCAAAGAATATCTCTTTTCCAAACAGGTGATCAAGTGATATGGATTGGATACTATGGCTTAATGTATAACCTGGTGAAAATGTCATGGGAACTTCGGGGAGATGATGATCAGGATGGATTTAGAAACAAAATATGGCAAACAGTACGGAGAACAAAGGATCAGGAGAAAGACGGGCGAATCCGCAATGCCATAAACATAGCTCAGGTGAGCTCAACGCCCAGGCATCACGTGGTACTTGTGTGGTTGGAAGCGCTTGTCCTCTCTCTCTGGGGGCCAGGGAAGGCCTGTGCTCGGGGAGGGTCAGCGACTCACAGCTGAGAGCAGCATGTTTAAAATTTAATACTGAAAAAAAAATAAAATAAAATTTAATACTGATCTCCGTTTAGCTAAAGATAGGAGGGTCGGCAGTCCTCTGAGAAGCTTGAAGAGAGGGGTGCTTTGGGGGAAGAGTAACGGTCCTGCTTTGGGTTTGTGCCTGAGAGACATATTAGGTATGCAAAGTTCCAGTTCGGGTCTATGCCGAAATTTTCCAGCTTGCTTTTTAGTGGTGAATTAATCCACTCTCCAAGTGTCTCAATTTGGATGATAAATTATTTGCTTATCTTGCTGGTAGGGTTTTCCTTCCAGCATTAGATAATATAAATCGCCATTCTAGATTCGCTTACCACGACTCTTTTTCTCTACAGTTAAATATGTATTTTACAAGTTCTTGGTTTTTCTAGTTCTAGCTGAATGACTCCATATATTGTTTTTCCTCACGTTCAAAGAAAACCATTGTGAAATTAGCTATCCATTCTTCATGAAATGCAAATGTGATTTTTTCCAGAATGCTTTATCCATATGGTATCCTATGATATTTTAAAACTCTCACCAGTTTTTTTATTTTTTTTTTAAATTTTTTCTATGTCTTATTTGGAGCTAGGTTAATTTGTTTGTTATCTTAAAGAAGACTTTTTTTTTCCCTGTCACTGAAGTTTCTGTCTCTTTCTAGCTTTCACAGGTGCAATTATCCCAACACACTTAATATCCTGCTTTCTAATAATAATTAGAGATGTGAATTAATGTTAGCAAGTAAGAAGAGTAAATAATGAATTCAGTCTGCCTAATGGATTGTCAATGCATATGGGCGGGCCATTATTGCGACAGAGTGTCGACACTAGATTCTTAGTAGAACCTTAAACTCCTTGATTTTTAATCATAAATCTGATTTGGAGTAATAATCTTTATGGAGGACTCTCTAAAAACATGCATTCCTTTTCTCTAGACATCTAATATTTTTTTATAGAGGAAGACAATCAAGAGCTCTCTACTTGAACTACATTAGTTTAAATGCCACGGGCTTGAGTTTATGCAGACATGCCTCAGTTTTATTCTTGGTTGTGGACAGAACATGGAAAGAAAAAGAAAAAAATAATTACTATTGTATCTATTACGGTGATGACCACTATATCACCCAGTATCCCTTTTGTTGCAATGTAAGAAATAAATCTTCCTTATTTTCATGTGATCTCTGAACCTTACTTTGTATAAGCTGCTCAATAAAGTCTTAAAAATATGAGAGTCAAATCTTAGCTAGTTTCTAAATAGACATAGAGGACAAAATGTATTCATCTCAGCAAGTCATTTTATTCTCTCCTTTTTTCCCTTTTCTGTGAATTTTCAATCATTCATATTATTTTCTGGTTTTGCATCTATCTTTGTAGATCGCCACTTCACATCTCAGGCGGATTGTATACTGTGACCAAATAAATAAGCCAAATCAAATTTGCCATTTCTATAATTAGAATTCTATTCATGGGCCTGTTTTCAGGGCCAAACATTTGGTATAGGATAGTTTCTTTCTTCAAAATTTTAGTAAATACCTATAGATAGTTACATTTGAAATCCGTTAATCAGTTAATCAGACATAGAAAATATTTTTTAGCTACTAGGTCCAAGGAAAAACCCATTAATCAAGCAGTCAGGTCTGAGGAGACCTAGATGTGCTAGCACTAGATGTGCTAATTAGTTTTTAATGCTTAGTGGGAAGACTTCTAAGGATGCTTTCATTCATTTTAAATAGTAAATGTGTGGGAAGGCAAGTTTTCCTCAGGAAAAAAAAATCTAAACTGTAAATTTCTTTTTTGTTTTTAAAGATTTTTTTTTATTGATTTATTTGAGAGAAAGAGCACACGGGAGAGGGAGGAAGGGCAGAGGGAGAGGAAGAAGCAGACTCCCGCCTGAACAGGGAGCCCAATCCCAGGACCCCAGGATCATGACCTGCGCCAAAGCAGACATTTAACTGACCGACTGAGCCACCCAGGGGCCCTTAAACTAGAAATTTCTAGAGGCAGCTGAATTAGTTTAAATATAGTACATATTTAACATAAGAAATACACTTATTTGCATTAGATAGATTACTTAAAGGATAAAATTCCCTCTGGATCTGTATTAACTAAAAGATAGAGACATTGAAATTATTAAGTAACAAAATATGTAATTTATGAGTATAAAATATAGAGTGCCTAGCCACTGACTTTGAAATATCACTTAATTTAGTTTGAATTCCCTTATTTAATATTATGATACTACAGTATATACACTATGAAATTATATAAAAATTTCCACCAAATTCAGTAGAAAATGTGAAATAAATATGTACATATTGTGTCCTAGATCTATTTTGCTATGCTGAATTCCATGGAAGACACAAGGGAGTCCAAAAAATGACCTTTACACAATAATTTTCACTGTCTCATTCAGAAGACAGAAGATTCAGAAGATGGAATATTATAGGGGCACCTGGGGGGCTCAGTCGGTTAAGCGTCTGCCTTCAGCTCAGGCCATGATCTCAGGGTTCTGGGGTTGAGCCCGTGTGGGCAGCCTCCCTCTCCTTGGCCCCTCCCTCTCCTTGTGCTCTCTCTCTCTTCTCTCAAATTAATACATAAAATCTTTTTTTAAAAAAAGAAGATGGGATATCATGTATGTGGCCAGTCCCCTCAAAGTTCATGGCACACGGTGGGAGTTCAGGTAAATGTTTGGTCTCCGATTTTTTCCTTATATGAATGAGGAATACGTTGTTGTCATCTTTAAGTAGTACTTGAGCCAGAAACCTAAATGATGAGTCACGTTAAGCGACTCAAGGGAGCGGGGTCAGGGAGCGCATCCCTTAGATAAGGAAAAGTTGTGAGTGGAGCAGAAATAAAAACACTGTAAGAAAAAGCCATTGGTTTTCTTTCTAGTTGAAGAAAAAGCTTTGGGTTGGGCAGTAGTAGGCATTACATTTGAAAGTTACGTCTGGGTTACTAAGTTCGTGTCTTAGGAACTTAGAGATGGATTCATAAAAATAGAGATGCTAAGTAAAACAATTAGTTTTGGGAGAAAATTTTTCTGATTGAATTTTAATAGGTGGGTACTTTGTGTATAGGTGAATCATGTGTTCACTTTCTTATATCTTTTTAAAATAATGAGTTCCCACTTTGGAACTTTTGATTCATTGTCAGAGTAATTGTCCCCAGTTTATTCATGACTCCCTATATTCATATCCTTGACGTGATTCCTTCTATACCCAAAACCTTGGCTTGACCACTTGACTTGATTGGAGTAAAAAGGCAATACCAATGTTACCCAAGCAGAGATTTTACCTTTTTTACTTACAATATATTCGTTTATCTATGTTTAAGATTTTATTTGAGAGAAAGAAAGTGAGGGAGAGAGAGAGCATAAGCCAGGGGATGCAGCAGGGGGAGGGGGAGAAGCAGACTCCCCACTGAGCTGGAGGCGGGGCTGGATCCCAGGACCCCAGTGTCACGACCTGAGCCCAAGGCAAACACTCAGCGAGCTCAGCCACCCAGGTGCCCCCAAATGGAGATTTGGAAAACGCTTATGTATTAGGGCCTGCGCTCCCTTATTCTCTTGGAACACTGTGACTGCCCTGTGAACAAACCCAAGTTACCCAGTTGGAAGATGAGAGACAACACGGCACAGAGACAAGCCGTCATGGTTGACCCACGGCCCCCACCCAAGATTCACCAGCTCCTCACGGACCAAACAGCTGACTACAGGCACATGAATGAGCCCCCCTAAGGCCAGAGGAACCGTTCGGCTGTGCCCCCCTTGAATTGTTGACCTGTGCAGCTGTGGGCTAAATCAATAGTTGTGCTAAACCACATAGGTTTTAGGGTGACTTTTTGTTTTTGTTTTTGGCATAGTAAGAGAGTTGCAAAAGTGAGATTTTAGTCTGCTGAATTATTCAATATAAATGTTTTGTTTCTTTCACCTTTGTCATTTTTTAAAAGGCATTGGCAATAATAGATTTGTTGAGCGTTTACTGTGCGCCATGTGCTAAGTACTTTACATGCATGAATTATTTAATTCTCGTAAAAACCATATGTTATTTGTATTTTCATGCTCTTGATTTTACAGATAATTTACAGATTTTACAGATAAGGAATTTGAAACTTTAAATAAGGACATTTAAACTTTTTGAAAGGTGAAGCAACTTGTCCAGGAATACTGTCGGAAATTACATTAACACTTGATGAGAATGTAATAACATTTTTAATATTGTCCTATTTGCTATGATAATATTTTGCTTAAAATTTTGCATCCATATTGCAGCGCCTAGGTGGCTCAGTCAGTTAAGTGTCTGTCTGCCGTTGGCTCAGGTCATGATCTTGGGATCCTGGGATCAAGCCCCGCATCAGTCTCTCTGTTCAGTGGGGAGTCAGCTTCTCCCTCTCCCTCTCTCTCCTTCAAATAAATAAATAATAAAATATTTTTTTAAAAAGAAGATTCTGCATACATGCTAATGAACACAATTGTTTCATAATTTTTTTCTTACAATATTTTTTATAAGGTTTGCATCAAAGTTATGCTGGATTTATAGAATGAATTGGAAAGTGATTATTTTTTCCTAATTCCCTGGAAGAATTTTGTAGTATGGTCACAATTTCTTCCTTAAAAATTCTGTAGTATTGACACAAGAAGCCATTTGTTGTGGATACTTATGGAAAGGTTGACATCCTTTCCATAAGTTCACTGATCAATCCTTTGATCATCTTTTTTTTTTTTTTTTTTTTTTTTGAGAGAGAGAGAGCAGCAGGGGAGAGGCAGAGGGAAAGAGAGAGGGAATGTTAAGCAGGCTGCACACACCCACAGCCCCGGACCCTAGTGCAAGTCTTGATCTCAGGGACCTGAGCTCAAGAGTCCACTTCCAACTGAGC